GGTCGTGTCATTCGCTGCGACTGCGCTAACGCCTTCCTGGGTCTTAAAGGTGAGCCCCTCTTTTCCCCAAGGGGGACTCAGTGTGTCAGACGTACTTCCGGTCTAGTCACAGTAAGTGTGGGGTTCTGGATTCCCGGGCAGGGGTGTTGGGTTGTGGGGGAACGCGAATGGCCCTAGCAAGGTGTGTCATGGTCAGACGGCCGCACTCACGAGGCTTTTGGAACGCGCACGTCAGCCAAGTGAACCTCTTCCCGCGGAATCTGACAAGGCCACCACGGGGAACAGGACCTGGCGGCGTCTGCATCCCGAACCCATCAGCAGTCTTTAACGTACGTAGACTTCGAAAGTGAGGCGTCCGTTAAGAAAGCGGGCCTCTCTCAAAAGCAGTGAGAGAGTTTAGTGCTGGTCACCAGAAAGCTGCTTTCAAGGAAGTGACTGCAACACTCACCAGAAGGTTTAGGCTCCTCAGACGCCCCGAGGGAACTTGGCTCCAGGGAGGAGCTTTATGGGAGGAGACCAGCGACCTCGCGCCGGCTTTGCGCAGTCGCAGTACAAGCCGCACGCCCTCCGGCCGGCCGCGCAACCGCAGTGGATGTCTCGTGCGCCCAGGGTGGGGCGCGGAACTGAGGCGGAGCTAGCCCCTCTCGCGCGCTGACACGACGGGTCTCGGCGGAAGGGTGTGGACGCGCAGGCGCCGAGGTGAGTCGGTGGTCAGGGAGGCGGGGCCACGCAGGCGCCCTGAGCGGTGGTAGCGGCGGCGGTGGTAGCGGCAGCAGCTGTGAGGGGGTTCCGGGAAGATGGTGCTGATTAAGGAATTGTGAGTGGGTCCGTGGGCGCGAACAAGGTTCCAGGACAGTCGTGGTGGGAGGTTCATTGATTGAGAAACGGTGGAATATTCCTGAGAAGGAGCGAGCCGGCCGCTTCCTGCGCGCGCCCCCTCCTCTCGGCCTGCGCCCCCGGCCCACTCGAGGCCCCTCCACAGCGCGTCCCCAAAACCCCCTTCCAGGCGTTGCTGTGGTAACACTGCTGCAGTCTCCCCCGGGGCGGAGGCGGCTGTATCCTGGCCGGAGCGCGTGTCTGGGGAAGGCGCGGCCGGGAGTTTCCGCTGGGACCCGCCTTCTCCCCAACCCCCCATCCCCGGGCCCGCCGGTGAGACGGCGGGTGGGGAAGACGCTGTGGGTCTGACTGTGATTTGCCGTCTGGGGTGGGGCCTTTCTGAAATCCGCGGAAGATAAGCTTGTCGGGTGAAGGCAGCCCTAATGTTTGAACTCGAGGTGGGACGTAGGTGCCCCGAAGTTCATGCAGGAGCTTCGGGAGTCCCGAAAACCTGCGCTCCACGGGGCAGCTCAGTTGACTTGACAGCAGAGCCATCTCTCTGCTCCTGAGTCTCAGTTTCCACATCTTTAAGGTGGGGGCTCACTCTGGGCTCCACCTACTTAACCGGGTTGAGGTGGGGTGTTAACACGTGTGTCAAATAGAAGGGTTTCCAGGTGCATTAGACCGGCAAAGTGATTTTGTTGAAAAATTCCGGTATTTCCTACCCTCAAGGACTGAATATCACAGGAAATCTGGTTGGCAGTGATTGTTCATCTGTCACAGCTGGTTCGTTTCGTCGTCATCCCTTGGGCAACTAGGGATTTCAAGTATGGCCTGCTCTTTAGTTTTTCATATGCTCCTTTCACTTGAAACTCTTAAACATTTTGGATTAATTTCGTTATCTCCAGACACCTTATTTTTAGTGTTCTCAAACTTCCTTTAAAAAGGAAACGACTCCTGTTGCTTCTCTGCTTAAAACCCTGGAAGGATTCCCTATCTCGCTGAGAATAAAAGCCAAAGCCTTTACAGCAGCCTAAGAGGTCTTATACTATTTTCTTTTTGGCTCTGATCTCATTTATTACCTTTGCCCATTCCAAGCTCACACGCTTGCTTGCTGTTCCTCCGCCACCCTAGGAAAATCAGTTCAGTGCCTTTCTGCTTGTTCCCTCTGTCCGAGTGCTCTTCCATTATCTCACCACTCGCCCCCTTCATGCTATTTCTTAAATATCACCTTCTTAGGGAATTCTTCTCTGAAGACCTAATTGCAATCCCCATCTTTTGGTATCTGCCTTCCCTGCTTTATTCTCCGTAGTAGCAATTATCACCATCTACCATGCAATACAATTATTATATTTTCTATTTTACTAGATGTATTCTCTTTCTACACATAAGCTCCATGAATTTGTCTACTTTGCTCACTCCCATATCCCCAGCTCTTAAAATAGGCCCTGGCACATAATAAATAAGTGCTCAGTAAATATTTGTTAAATTAATGAAAAATTATAATTGAGTCAGTGACAGGTATTCTGAGAAAGGACACCTTTTCAGTTAAAGCTTATTTATAGTATTGAACTTTGGATTTACGTAAAACTTTTCTGCCAGGTTGTTTATACAGTTTATGCAAGCGTTATCTCATTTATTGCTCTGACATCTTTGTAATGTAGGTAGGTGGCAGATATTAAGACAAGTAGAGGAAATAAGACAGAAGAAAATTGACTTGGCGCAAGTCACATAGCAAGTGATTTGCAGAACTGATTTTAAATCACAGATCTAGTCATTTTGCTTTTATTAGAATTATTTCCTCCCTCCTAAAATGTGAATTAGGTGTTTAGTAGATTCTGTTGATAGTTATGTGAGGCGTGTCCAGCCCACCATCTAGTCTCGCATACTAAGTACTCAGTGTTGTTGAATGAAAAAAATATTCTTACTTGCAAGTCAGCTTTTCTAAAATTGTTTTTGGTCAGGAGCAGTGAATACATCATTGCTATGTGAAGATGTTGGTAAACTTAAAATTCTTTGGCAAATGTTTGTTGTTTTTAAAAATGCCATCTATTTTTGACATGAATTAAAAGGTTAGAACTTACCTTTCAGGGTGGGGCGTTCCCTTCAAGTTATTACTTAAGCAATAGATGAAGTTGCCATTAGCATAAAGTCCTGGTTTTAAAGAACTAGTTGCCAGTTCCACTTGGAAAATTATTTTCATGAGGATTTGTAGAGAAGTTTGAAAGTTTTCAAATACAGGCATAGCTCTTAGATACTGCGGGTTTGGTTCCACACCACCGCAATCAAGTGAGTATCACAGTAAAGCGAGTCACACGAATTTTTGGTTTCCTGGTGCATATAAAAGTTATGTTTACACGATACTGTAGTCTGTTAAATGTGCAATAACATTGCGTTTTTAAAAATGTACATACATTAATTAAAAATACTTTATTGCTAAAAAATGCTAACCATCATCTCAGCGTATTGGAAAAATGGTGCCAGTAGACTTGTTCAACACAGGGTTGCCACAGACCTTGAATTTGTAAAAAACGCAGTATCTGTGAAGTACAGTAAAATGACGTATGCCTGTTTAGTTTTCCCCACTATTCAAAAGTAGAGTGTTTCAATGAACCTTTCACTAACCAAAATGGCGTAAAGCAAAGAAGCAGTTATCATTAACTTACAGTTACCCTTGGAACAGTGTGGGGTGTGGGGGAGTTAGGGGCACTGACCCCACTGCCACAGTTAAAAATCTGAATATAACTTTTGACTCCTCAAAAACTTAGTTGTGCCTTGGTACCTGCTGGGGATTGGCCCCAGGACCCCCCCAGGTACCAAAATTCTGCCGATGCTTGGGTCCCCTATATAAAAGAGTGTAGATGATGCATACAGTCTGCCCTCTGCATCTTCAGACTCCCAACCACGGATTTAAACAGCTATTTAATGAAAAGAAATCTGTGTGTGAGTGGACTCACGCAGTTCAAACCTGTATTGTTCAAGGGTTAGCTGTATATGAAAAATTTTTGAGCATTCCCAGACCCAAAAAAAGAACCTACAAAATCTTACCAAATACACTTAATTGCAACCAGTTTTATGCCAAGTGTAATACCCTTATGAGCTCTCTTACACTTTTTTGATATCTTAGGACACATCTTGCTAACAGATGCACACAAAAAAATCAAGATAAAGCAGAGATGCTCACAGACACAGTTCAAAGCTCTGGCAGCTTGATGCTGAGATCCTGGGGAAGGAGATTGGCGGGGCCATTCTTGCTGCCAACAGTCTTGAGCTGCCTCTGTGACAGCTCCTGCAAAACAAATGCTGAACACTATTTTCTCTTTCCTTTTTTTTTTTTTTTTGTGAAACTGAAAAAAATCCTCAGTGTTATTTCTTTCTATTAACGAAAACAGGTACTAATGTAGATCTTTCATAAAAGAAAGTGGTGTACTTTCAAAATGTGGGGGATACCTGTACTGCTTTTAGACTAGTCTTAGAAAATCAAAACCTGTCTGTTCCTTCTCTTCTACATTTTATTAAGCAAATCTTGAAGAAGTTACTTGACTCATCACTCATTCAGAATACCTTAATCAGTCACTTGCATTTTGTGAAATAAGTCTCCCTGGAAGTGTAATTTATATAAAAGTAGGTATCTTCCTGCTAGTGAGTAGTTGCTGAAATTCCTCAGTGTAGATTCTTTGGTTTCGTGAAACTTGAGGGAAGTCTAACTCTTTGCTCTGTATTCCTTCCTTCCATTTCCTCTGCAGCGCATCATCTTGGTTCAGACCTTCGTAAGCCCTTGCCCATCCTCCCAAAAGATGGTTTTTCCCAACATTCTTGCTTCTCAATATTTTTAACCACCTACAGATTACTTCTTCAGGATAGCTGTAGTTATGTCTCTTAACTTTTTTGGAACAACCTCCCAGGATTCCTTGTTTCCTGATACTTTTTTTTTTTTTAGATTTTTTTTTTTTAATTGGGGAATTGGGGGATAGGAACAGCGCTGGGGAATTGGGGAAGAGGAACAGATAAGTTGCTGTCGTTTTGTTCTTCAGTCTAGTTGTGGAGGACGTTGCTTCACTGGCTCAGGTTGGCACCATCATTGCGCTCTTCCCGGACGAGGCAGATCAGTCGCCTGCTTCTGGACAGCTGCTCACTGCGGCTGCTGGCCGCTCACGCTGGCTACACACGGTAGCCCATGGCAACCCACTGCCACAGGGGCTGCAGCCTACGCCGTCGCCGGCAACTCATGGCAGCCCAGCTCCAGGTTGAGCTGTTGTTCAGCATCTTAGCTGTGGAGGGCAGTGTTACTGGCCCTCATATGTGGGATCCGAACCGGGGCCCTCTGGCATCCCAAACCAGTTCTTAACCATCGCGCCACTCGGCCGGCCCTCCTGATACTTTTAATAGATTTCTTACCATTATATTGCAGGCTCTGAAAATATTTTCCCAACCTGTATCTTTGTCCATATCTTCCTGTGTCTTCCAAAATATGCTCCCAACCCATATCCTAATCTTCCTTCCCTCTGACGACCCCACTCCTTCTCCTCAGTTTATTTCCTGTTACTGAGGCAGTGAGCAAGTTTGTGTGTACCTGGAGGAGACAGCTAAAATTTAGACTAGGTTTGGAAGGACTTCGTGTAACAAGTTTACTCTTGATGAAAGTAGAAATTAGTAACCATCGTGAGTTTGAGAATATTCATTGTTTTTAGATGGCCGTTATCAGAAAGACAGAGTGATGAGTGACCTCCAGTAGTCAAGGAGGAGGTCATTATAGGAGACATGTTTTATACATATTGGAGATTAAGGTGATGTGAATATTCAAGCATACATGTTTGAGGAGAATAGGGAGAGAGAAGTAGGTGGAAAGTGCAGCTGAAGAGAAATTGGAATGAGGAAAACTGGGAATTTTCTATAAAATGCAAATCAAGGTGACGGTTGTGAGATTTTCTTTTTTCCCCTGTCCTTATAATAGAGTTAAAATGAGATTTTTAAATGGCACTGCTATAGTAGCTTAATGGTTAGGGGGGAAAGTCTGAGAAGAACCAGGCCAAACAAAAACAAAAAAATTGCTATTTTGGACACCAGCTATTATTATGAGACAATTGATATTCAGGGATGGTTTTCAGAGTTTGTAGTGAAAACTTTCTATAAAAATCTGGAGGTGAAATGCAACATTCTAATATAAAATAATTCACCATAATACTCTTTTTTGAAGAATTCATCTTCAGAAATAGTACCCTCCATGTAGGTCCTTTTGTATGTCCAGTGACAAATTCTGTTGGACAAAACCAAAACACATATCAACCTTATATTGAATTTACCTGGGTTATATTTATAAGGTTCAAGGTATTTTCCATAGTAGTATTTTTTTTATATAAAGTCTAAAGGACCGTTTACTTGTTTTTCTCTTAATAAAGTTGAGGAATAATTGGGTAGTGGGGATCAATTTTTGGAAGCATTCACTCATGAGATTCAAGACATGTATTGCTTGAGAAATATCATAAAAACAAATGAATAGTGTATAGATGGAGAGTGAAACCATACTAAAAATTTCATGAGAGCAACCTGACCAGACATACAAATAATACATTTTATACCCTATAATTTTCAGTGGTGAGTTTTCTCTCCACGCATCTCCTCAGGTGTATGCTTGGGTTCCTAGTATAATGAGGACGCTAAATGCCGGTGATAGTTGAGAGCCTGGAATGATAGTTTTATTTCCCCAGTTAAAAAACCCTTATTTAGAGCTATAGGCATTGCAAAAAACCCTCTTCCATAAATGTTCCAAGCTATCATTGTTCCAGGCTATCATTGTATTTAAAGTACAAGCTCTTTTAAACATAGAGATCTGTGTTTTAAAGCCAACTATTCCATATGTAACATACATTCTTTTACCTTTTGTCTTTTTAGCCGTGTGGTTTTGCCCTGTTCTGTTCAAGAGGTAAGTCATGTTTACTTCCGTGTTTTATTGAGATAGTTCATTTTGATATGTTAATCTCAAGTCATGTCTTTGTTGTATTCATTTACCTTTACATTTTAGTTTATGTGACAAAATGAATTAAGGTGTGTTACAGAGAAGATTACAGATAATTGTAAATGAATGTCTATTCCACTGCTTTGTTTTGGAAGGGTCCAAAGAATGTAGTTTAACCTCCTGTCTAGTGCAGGAATTCTGTCTACAATATCCAAGGAAAGGAGGTTCCAGCTTCAACCTAAGCACTTTAAGGCTAAGAAACTTGCTGCTTAGAGAAGCAGTTTACTTTCCTGTTGGATATTTTATACACTTGTCTTTAAACCAAAACCTGCTTTTCTATAATATTTGACTGTTGTTTAGGTTCCTTCCACTTGAGCAGTGGGAAATGGGCTTATTCTGTCTTGCATATGGTAACCCTTCAGGTTTTGTTTTGGCACTTCTCTCTCCTCCAGTCCCTTTTGTTCCATCTTCTCTGCATGAGGTTACACATTCATTTGGCCTAATATAACATGACCTCTAAACTTCCTCACCAGCTGGTCTCACTACCGCATTTGTTGTACTTATTGGTCTTAAAACAGTATTGCAGACGTGGTCTGACCAGCACATAACTATAAGACATTATTGTCTCCCTTGATCTGCACACAATACAGAAATACACCACCCATTCAGAAGTTGCATGTTCTGCAGTTGTAGCTATCTGTAGTATAGCCAAGAATGAGGATGAAAGCAGAGAAGACTTCTAAGAAATCAGGATATGTATAGCAAAACACGTAAAGCCCTCTGGGTCCTTCTGAAACTTGCATACAGTTTGTACTTGTTAAATTATCTGGTTTTCTTAGAGCTGACAGTAGATTAGAAGCAGTGAATTGGAAGTGAGACAAAACAAACAGATAACCTAAGAAGTGACAGCTGACAAAAGACAAAAAAAAAAATGCAAGAACTAAAAATGAGTAGCTATCTGGCACTGTTTAATGTAGACTGGAACACAGCTGTATATGGCTCAGTAGTGCTTGAGGTTTCACTGTATTAAAACACTCGAGACAAGCCAGGCACTCATATTCTTTACTTGTACAATTGATTGTTTGAACTTGGATGTGGAAATCAGCATTTATTTTTGTTAATTTTTTTTCTTTTGGTTTCAGCTAGTTGGAGCAACTTGTTGAAATCTTTCTGAGTCTTGGTATTGTCACCCAAAATAATCTCAGCTCTGTTATTCTCAGACTTAATAAACATACCTTCTGTCTTTAAGTTAGTCTTTAAAATGATAATGAAAGCCTAGTAGCATACCACAAAATATCAGTCCATTAAGAACATGTTTTTGGATACTGTTGTTCTTTCTTTGTAAATTTTTGTTACTCTGTTCCTGACCAAGATCAAATTTACCCTTTGACTTAGAAACATTTTAATCCTATTTTTTAAATAACAGTGTTGAAAAGTACATTTTGAAGGACTTAAGGATTGATTGTAGCTTTACTGGACTAACACTGATGTTGTATCACAAAAACCAAAAGAAGAAATGCAGCCCTTTCTGCATTCTAAAATCCCTACAGAAACTTAATTTTGGTTTATTTAAGAAATGTGTTTATTTCCAGCTTCCTCCTAAACTCTTCCAAATTGAGAGAAGGGGGAGTGGAGGTGGGGGGCGGGGAGAAAGAAAGAAAAGGGGAGGGGAGAGGAGAGTGTGTGTTACAATTAACCTGCAAGATAGCATCATATTCCCTTTTTAGATATATTTACAGAACTTACAACTACCTCTATTTTTTGTCCCTCACATAAAATGTTGGTTTTGAATTATTAGTTTTTAGAGGTAGCTTTTCTTTAAAAATATGTTTATGAAAAAAGAAAAAAAAAACATTTCTTCTGGCTGTCTTTATCATCGGGAGGAAGACAGCCAGATTTGAAGAGATTGGAGATAAAGCCCTGGTTGAGTCACTAGAAACCAATTAGAACGTAAGAACTTTGCTTTTTATCATTTGTTGGAATGGTTAGTGACTCCACGTTGTCAGAGAACAATACGGCCACTCACAGGTATTGGTGCGGACCACTGAGAATTCTGGTTCACTTTAAGATGAACTAGATAGAAGCCACTGGCAGCAATTTCTTGCCTTTTATGGTAGTACTTGAGTATTTATAATTCTTTAAAAAGTTTGTTTACCAAAAAACTTGATAATTCACAGTTCTGATGCTGTATACCCAGTACTGTTTCTGTTTAAACAGACAAAGGCCAAACTGCATTCGTCTCATATAAATCATGGGAAGAAAGATCCCAGGGGTCTACTGAAATTTGGACTGGAATGGTTCTTTGGGTTTTCAGGGTTTTATTATTACACTTTAAACCCTTCCTCTTTGTTATTGAGAATGGTATTCTGGTTGCTCAGCTTTCTTAATTGACAGTGATAATTATATACATGCCATACCTTTCTTAGAATTTTGTAAAATTAATGAGATATACAAATGTATATTATTCAAAAAATTGAACCAAGTGTCAAGAAGTTTTCTCCATAAGTGGATAGTACGTAGTAAAGCACCAGAGTGTTTGTAATTAGCAGTTTTCTTGAATAATGGAAATCTTGTAAAATACAGTTTTTTGAAGCTCTATGATTATCTTTCTAAACATTAATTTCTAATTTGAGTCATGTTTTCATGTAGAACATACGTGCTGAATGGTTTGGATGTGCTTTTCTATGCCATCTACAGTAAGATTTTAGCATAGAAGTTTCTGCGGTTACTACTGACTTACTGAAATTCCGTACTCTTTGAAATTTCAGTATCAGGTTGGGCAGCTTTACTCTGTTGCAGAAGCTAGTAAGAATGAGACTGGTGGTGGAGAAGGAATTGAAGTCTTAAAGAATGAACCTTACGAGAAGGATGGAGAAAAGGGACAGTATACACACAAGATTTATCACCTAAAGAGGTAAGCAGTGTATCCACATTTGATGTTTAGTCATTATATTAAGTAATTAGGCTTCAGCTACCCAGCTTACTTATGAAGCAGTGTAACTACCTAATTTACTAGTAAATATGCTGATGTACTTTTTAAATTTAATGTGACAATATATTGCATTTTAATTTTTTGAGAGAATTCCCCCTTTATTATTTTTAAATTGTAAAAGTAATATAGCCACTTATAAAAAATTCAAACAATAGAGAAGATAAAATAGAAACTTAGTCCCCACCTCTTGCCATCATATATCTATAACACTAGAAACAGTTTAGAGTTTACCCTTCTGTAAGATTTTCTATACATATTCAAATAAATTTTTTTAAAAACAAAGAGATATCACTTCTATGATTTCTTTCCTACAGCAGTTGGGATCATACCATACATAAGGGTCTACAGTTTGTTTTTCATGCGATGATAGAGCATGAACATCCTTCCATGTTGTTATTTAATGTCGTGTCATTCTTTTTAAAGCTGGGTAAAATTTCTTAGTATGGACATAGCATAAGTTATTTATCCATTCTCTAAATAATAAGTTGACTTGGTATTTTTTGTTGTTTCTCAGCTTTTGTCTTACAAATAATGTTTCTGTGAACATGGTTGTACATAAATCTTTATGCCTTAGGTTACTATTTCTCTAGGAGAAATTTATAAAAGTAGGATTGCTAAAAAAGACATACTCATTTTAAATTCAGATATTATTGCCAGATTGCCCTTCAAGAGTTTGATAGTGTTCATTTTCCCATATTTTGCTGTCTTTTAAGTTTTTGCTGACTTGATACACCGAAAGTAGTCTCTTGTTTAAATTTGCATTTCTTTATTAGTGAGGTTGACTTGTCTTTTCATATTAATTGACCATTTGAATTTCTTGTATGACTTGACTGTTCAAATCTATTCTTTGTTTTTATCTCTGGTTTGTAGAGGTTCTTTTGCACATTCTCCTGAGTTTAGCAGTCTAATCTCTATCTTTGGCATAAAACAGAAATTACATACCAATATTTATCCAAGGACAAAAGACCAGTAATGGTTTTTAAGAGTCTGTTTTGTCAGTAGTCTCCCCAGTTTATTAAAGGTAGGAGGGAGTCTTGGTTATTCTCTTGCCTTTATTCTCTTCATGTTAAAGTGAATAACACCTTGTTTTGTACAGCTCCTTAAAGTTATAGATGACCTGTGGTGATCAGTATTTTTCATATTTTCTCAACTTAAGGCTATTGCTTGGTTTATAGGGACACATGAGTATTAAGTAGGTTATCACTTTATAGAACCTTAAATTTTATTGACATTTTCTCTTAGAACACAGCATGTCTTTGTTGCTGATGCAGGTTTGAATGAAGGCAAAAACTGATCAATCAATTATCCATGGTTTCTATTAATTTGTACCCTAAGTATATCGTTAAAAAAATTTTTTTTTATATTTAGTATTATATTAGTTTCAGGTATACAGCATAGTGGTTAAACTTTAATATAATTTATGAAGTGATCACCTTGATAAATATAGTACCCACTTGGCACCATACATGGTTATTAACAATATTATTGACTATATTCCCTACGCTGTACTTTACATTCCTGTGAGTATATGTTAAACAAGTGTCAATTAAGAGAAAATTTTGGAATTCTAATGGTATAACCTATGTAATATTTATGGCATTGAATTTACTTATGTATACTTGGAGTTCTTTTACTAAGCATTTTTCATTTACTCATTAATTGAATTTTAACAATACATAAAACATGCTTTATTGTAAACATGCACCTCTGGGGGTTAAAAATAAACCCAAAAGTTTGATATATAAAATTTTTTGATGTTCTGTGATGTCCTTATATGAATAAACTTGAAATAGATTCAAAATACCATTCATTTGAAAACTAAGAGTTGGACTATTGGGGAAATGTTTGATACATTATTACATGGAAAAAACCAGTTGCTAAATATGTACATAAATATGTAATATGTTACATATTTTTAAAAAAAACTTAATCAGAAAAAAAGCCTAGAAACAGAGTCATTAAAATGTTAATGTTTTTCCCTTGGTGGTGAGATTATGGGTGATTTTAAAAATTCTTTACTCTTCTGTATTTTTGTTTAATGAGAAAAAAAGTGATAAATATTATTTTTGAAACATTTGATTTAGGTGACACTCCAGCCATAAATAATGAACCTCTTAAGATGAAGAGAGCTATATAAATATAGTTAGTGCAAGAGATATTATTGTTCTGGAGAGCGTACTTGGAGATGAGACGAGGAATTCCTCTCAGGTCTTTAATGGATTAAAGAAAGGAAAAGCCTCGCTCGCTGGAGGCTAGCCTCCCAGCACACTCAGCCTTCTGGAACAGCTTCTTTATTCCTAGAAGGAGCTGAAATCATTCCATAGTACTGTTTGGTTTCACACTTTTATGTATTTATTTACACCTCATTGCAGTCTTGAGAAATAGGCAAAGTACACATTGTATGTAAGAAGACACTAAAGTCCATATTTACCCAAACTCCCACGGCAAATAAGTGGTAGGATGGTGACGGAGACATGCACTCTCTGATTTCTAATGCTCTTTTGGTCACAAGTAGGCAGTCCCGGGTGCCTGACAGCAAGCACTGAACCTGATGACCACAGGTCTCCCATGAGAAGGGAGGGAGGTGGTCTAACGATGGTGATGCCGGCAGAAGACTGGCCTTGTTACACAAAGATGGCGCCTGGGTAAATGGAAGCATGGGGAGACATGAGATAGGAAAGGGAAAAAGGAAAGAAGGGGACAGTGTGGCAGATAATAGCCACTCTGATAGTAATGAAAAACAACTGAAAACTTGTGTGTTAAGAAAGATAAAACGGGCCAACTATCCCTGTAGTCTGGCAGGGGGGAGAATAGTCATGGGGCAAGGGCAGTCAGATTTCCACACTCAGAATCATCAGTGTCACACAGGGTAACTCTATTATGGAAGGGCAAAGAATCACTTGTGGTAAGTTCTGAGACCTTGACTGTGCTGTAGGAAACACTGCAGTGACGTCACAGTGCTCGCAGTGCAGCCCCATCAGACTTATCCTGCAGGGGCATCAGTTTAGCATGCTGAAGACATACCCATAGTTCTTAGGTTTAGAGCGCTCTAAGGAGGCTAAGTATGTGTCCAGTAATATATGGTTCCTTTCCCCATACTTATTCCATGGGGTAACCTATAGTGCCCTGTGCACTGTCACTGTATAGCATCAATGGAATTGCAGACTTGGTGAACTTGGATGGCTAAAGTGATTGGCTAAGACCACCAACACCTTTTACATTTGAGATATTGGAAATTCTTGGGCCCACTTTACCCACTGTAATCAAGGTGTCTGGATTCCCTGGCCAATATGCCTTCCCTTTTCAGCAAAAACACTGGTTGGTAAGATGCACACTTAGTCTCAACCAGAAGATTGAAGAACAATCTTGGCAAGGTATTAAAAAATCTAAAATGTAGTGACCATCTCAAGGGACATTTCAAATGTCTGGTTTCTTTCAATTTCAGATAATATTCTTCTTATGGGATGAAATTCTTTCCCTATCTTTTGATAACTTTCACTAGTGAGAAGTCACCCATGGTAATTCTAAGCATAGAATCTAGTACTTGCTGTGTTTTTAGGGTGTGCTGGTCATTGTAAGTGTTGTAGGTGGGAGCTCATTGATTCCCCATGGCAGTCTTTTCTAGTGAGGAAACTAAGGTTCAGAAAGGTTATGTAAGTAAGTTGCCCCAATGTCACTGCTATTTGGTAGCAGAGAGGGCTGGGAGCCCAGGCTGGCATTGTGACTCTAGATCTTACCTTCTCATCACTTTGCTCTACTACTGAGCCTGGTGGGAAGATTAGAATATTTTCCACTTCCTGAAGTGAACTGCAAAGGAGTTTATAGAGAAATTCTATTTCACCATATCCGATTTCTTATGAGTCTTTAAAGTCTCAAATTTTCTTCCAAAATAAAGTTAAACTCAACAAGGTACTCATGATTATCCACGTATCCCCAGTTGTAATAACTGTCCAGATAAAAACCTTTGGCTGTAAGTAAGTCTCTTCATTGTCTTCCAGAAGTGACCTGTTCAGCCCCTTCGGTTCTTCTGATTTTGGGTTCCTCATAACCTGCTTAGCTTCCTGAGCACAGCTCATATCTGTCCTGTGCACAGGCATTCCTTGACTACTTATATTCTTCCCTAAACTCTCATCACTTTTTGTTACTCTACTCATTTTGCCCTAGTCATGTATTGCCATATGTGTACATATTTGTCTTGTACCCAGTTTACCATAAAAGTTTGAATATGTTTCCGTTGTTTAATATACACCTAATGGTGGATGGTGCGGAGGGAGGAGAGAATTTATTGGGCAAAGAATTGGGAAGCAAGGCAAGGAAATGTGTTGCAACCTTTGAGATGGTATTTCAGAGAAAAACTTGGAGCTCTCCTGAGACATCATAGGAACACATTGACCTTTTTTTTTCTTCTTTTTTTATTGGGGAATCAGGGGAAGGGGTCAGACAAGTTGCTGTCCTTTTGTTCTTCAGTCTAGTTGTGGAAGACACGTTACTTCACTGGCCCATGTTGGTATTATCATTGCACTCTTCCCGGGTGAGGCAGATTGGTCGCCGGCCTCTAGACAGCGGCTCTTGGCAGCTCACACTGGCTGCCAGCCGCTCATGGTAGCTTATGGCAGCCCACTGCTGCAGGAGCTGCAGCCTATGCCGTCGCTGGCGACTCACAGCAGCCCAGCTCCAGGTCGAGCTGTTGTTCACTTACCTTAGCTGTAGAAGGCAGTGTCACTGGCCCCCATGTGGGATCCAAACCGGGGCCCTGCTGCTTAGAGCTGGTATCCCAAGCCAGCTCTTAACCAACGCGCCACTCAGCCGGACCTGACCAGACCTTTTGTTGTTTGCTTTCTCTCCCTTCTTGGGGAAAATCAGGTTTCTTCTGTTTTGTTCCTCATCAGTAGTATGCCTTTACCATCTTCAGTCAGCCCTGG